TTCAGGCTTGGTTGGCTGAGAGAAGCTTCTTGATACCTTACGAGTATGTGTAGATGCTGCAAGGATGGACAACGCTTGCAAGACCTCCAAGAACTTGTCTTCAGAAAAGCCCAAGGTGCAAAGCACCAAGTCAACATGTGACCATATGTGGCTTTGTATCAAGAGCAAGAGCAAGATGAAGATGAAGACATTTCCACACATCAAAAATCAGATTGTCCTCTCCAAGGACACGGCTGTGGGGGTGGGACAGCAGCAGGATTGGGGAGGATCTGCCAAGTCAAGGTTGGAGCAACCAGCTCCGACTGGTTGGAGAAAGAAGGCGATGTCTTCACCTTAACGTGCCGGTGAGGTTAGAGATAAAAACCAGCAAGGTTTTTAAAGGAAAGGAGGAGTAAAAGAAAAGATTTTGCATGTTTTCATGGAAAGCTCTGACCAGGGACGATGTCTGAGCATCTCATCTTGATGAAAGCTGACATGTTTTACAAGGACAACCACGTCCAGGGAAGACATTTTTGACCAGCATCTCAACTTGGGGACTGTTGGTGAAGGTGTAGATGTGAAGATAGTAGGAGTTTAGCAGCACTTTAAAGGTGAAACACTAAAAAATAATAAAATAAAAGGCCTAGAATTATATTTAATATCTAGAGATGTATATCCTAATAATAGGAAAAGACCAAGAAATAAATCTCTGCTGTTAATGAGGAAATACTGAGCGTTTATTGCTCTCTTTGAGGAAAAGAGTAAAAAAAAAACAAACCTGCTTTTTTGGGGTCTTTCTGCACATCTTGAACCTGCAGGATTTACCCCTGCGGGATCCATCGGTTGGAGGTGGATTAGCTGCAGTAGAAACACCAGGTGAGGGATTTTCTCAGAAATTTCCAAAAATCGATGGATGAATAGGCAAAACTTTGCTTCCTTTTTTTTTTGTGTGTGTGTTTCGTGATTTCTCTTCATTTCTGTGTCATTGCACCAGGCACTGCTGAATTCACGCGCATGAGTTTTAATGGTGTTTTTTCAGCGCCTGACACTTTTGAGATGTTTTCTGCACAATATGTTACTCCCATTTGTTTACAGACCGAGTAATTACTTGTGACAACTATACGCAATAAAAATTTATCGTTGGTTAACAAACCTATTCTGGCGCTGCCCTTAATCACCGGCTCCCGTTGAAGCACAGTAGAAAATGCTTCAACAGGTGCCATTTCATGTTATTTTAGGTTTTTTCCCAGCCTTTGCACATCAATGTGAGGGCAAAAAACCCAAACACTTTAGGTGGGTGAAGTGTGAGGGATTCACAGACAAAAACCCTTCTCCCACCCAACCTGGAACATCTTCTAGTGTCACTGAGCTCCTCGAGCATCCAAAAAGCAAATTATTTTTTAAAGACTGCCTGCCATTTGTTAAAGATGCTCTCCTAAAAGTGAGATTTGGGTGAGTCGCAGTGAATTTTTCTGGGCTTTCTTAGTGACTTCATGAGATGTGGTGTAGGACATCTCCATGGCCTTAAAATCATTGGCCAGGGTTGGGGCAGCTGCTCACATCAAATCTGTCTTCGAAGATTTTCTGGTTCCTGCAGAGCTGAGAATCCTGCCCCCCCCCCAATCCAGCTGGTCTGGGGGATTTATTAAATAAAAACCTAAAAAAGAAAGAACATAAAAACATAAAAAACTTTTTTTTTAAAAAAGCTAAAGAACTAAAAACTAAAAAAAATAAAAAGCTAAAAACCTAAAGAACTAAAAAAAACCCATTTTTTTAAAATTATAAATGAAATATTTAATATTTAATAGGTAAAGCAATTTATTTTTAAAGGAAGCAACTGCCAATGGACGGGGTCAGCACAAAGGACACAAACACCAAGTTAAAGAAGTCAGCTTGTCTTTACTTACGTTTAAAGCAATCAAATAATACAGGAAATAATACAGCAAGAATAAACCGAAACAAGGTAATGTACCTAATCATTACTACACAAGGTTAATTATGGTGATTAAGAAAGATACATCACCAGTTGCCCTTATCCTTTACCATCATCCAGAACCGCAATCCAGAACGGCAATGGGAAGGTCCGACGCAGCGCGTCCAAAGTCGCCGCAAGAGGATCCAGCTTTTTATATTGTTGAATAAACAAGCTTACGTAACTTCAAATGCGGAACCATCTGGTTTCACTCTCCTTTTAGATGCCACCCAAAACTTGGCCAAGGCTCAAGGAGGAACCGAGGGAGTTTCTTCATCTATTTGGCTTGGCGCACGTATTTCCAAAGAAAGTCAGACACCTGGTTTCACGGCCTCAACAACCTGTCTCCAACCAAGGAAAGCTAAACACATTCTCATTCTTCACTAATGATTATATTTTATCTAAGCTACATCTTTTGCTAATGATCATACATATTTTACTAATTATTAGCTACTAATAGTGTACAACGTTTGGTTGGAAGGTTCATCTAGAAGTCAACTTTGGTTTGGGGCCTATTGCTTAGGCCTCAGCACTTCCTTTGACCTATAGATGAACCACAACCTTCACAACATTTCTTTTACTAACATAATCTTAGATTTAGGTATTAGGCGTGAAACGAAGAGAGTTCCTTCCCCAGCCAATTAATTCCAGTTCA